CAAGGTGATTTCACTGTGTCACCAGCAAAGGATGTTGAATTTGTTTATTATTATTATTATTATTATTATTATTTAAACACTATGAGATATGCCTCATCTATATTTTTTATTTTTTGAGCATTTTCATTTTATTTTTCTTTTCAATTTGAATAGACATCTTTATTTACCCATTTTTTTTCATTAATTTCATGCATGTGTGTATATCCAATTGTATAACTTTCTGTCACGATATGGAATGTTATCGTCTGAGCCTAGTTCTTGCGATGATAGAGCCAATGGATACCAGCATTGCATTCGGCTTTCCATTTCAAATACCATCTAGCAATCCTTTGTCTGTGTGATTGGCCTGTGTCTGACATGCTAGATTTTAAAGGGCCAGTAGGGAAATTGTGTTGCTCTGCTGCCAGAGGTTGAAATTAGTTCGTCATCAAAGGAGTTTCCTTTCACTCTTACTTAAAAAACATAATCATATTTCAGAAATTAGATTTAGCTTTTATAGTGTATCCTGAAATTGGTTGGATTGCGTCACGCTGTCATGATCTATGGTTGTCGTCTTTTATTCCGACATGATGGCTTTTAAAGTACACGATCTGGGTCATTTGGGATGTGGTCGGCCTTCTGTGAAACTGGGCTGGCCAGACGAGACGAGGAAATCCGTGCCCGAGTGCGGCTTGGTGACTCCGTATGTCCACTGGTAGTTGGTAGTTTTGCTTCGGTTTAAAGCATCCAAATCATGTATTACGAGTTGTCAATGCAATTTGCCGGGAATGGGTCATGTGACTGCTGTAGCGCATACAACATGGCACTGGTCGTCCCTGTGCTTTCTTAGCGGCCCCTGAGCTCTGAAAGGCTCAGCAACTGTTCATGGAGTTCAGTCTGGTTTAACTGGGGGAGGAGGGCTTTCATTCATATTCCCACTGCCGCCTGTCTGCCCTACTGGCCCTCTAAGGTCCATGCAGATATATATATAAGGAAACCAATCATTTCAGCTTTGCTTGGAATTACCTTCTTTTTTTGAACTTAAGAAATATCTTAATTAACTTTCTTCGAAAGAGGCCTTCTGTGAGTGTGTCTTCCTACCTGTAAGTGGGAAGGTGCCAGTAAGGTAATGACAGCATGGCTCACAGGCCTCCGTGGGGTGCCCGCATTCCAGCCTCTGACACTGCACAGGCAAGCTCACGGTCACCAAAAGCCCTGGTCACATCCTGGCTTACCTGGTCTCATTCCAGCTTGTTGGCCTGCAAACTCTCCCTGGGACACCATGTTCCCTGGGGGGGTTGGAGTACAACACCTGGGAAACCGAATGCTCCATGTCGGTCCGAGCAGCAGGGTATGGATCTACATTTCTACTGAGTAGAGCACTGGCACAGCCGGACCCCCTCTGGGACTCGCGTACACGTATGTAAAGTCTGTGTGTCTGTGTGCGTGCGTCCTTAGCATTTCCAGGTTTTCTCCATTTCTTGTGGAGCCTAGGGACAGTGACCTCATAGATGGATGGGTGGGGGGGCATCTCTGCTATAAGAGAGCAGCCCAGTCTCCTCTGTCTGAGGCGTTTCCTCCTGCCAGCTGTGTGTATGTGTGTAGGGAGGGGAGGTGGACGTGAAACCCAATGAGCAAAGTTAAAGGGGCTTTAGTGCTGTCTATCCATCAAGGCTCTTCTGCTGGGAGTTGCCTAGTTTTGGAGATATCGGCCAGAGAAATGCCAGTCATCTTTCGCAGTTTCGAGTATAAAGGGGATGAATGGTATTCAATTTAAAGTGCCAAAAAATACTTTTGAAAAATCCAGCAGCAACCAGAATTCATGATGACCAATATCTCTGAAACTAGGCAACTCCCAGCAGAACAAACTAGATGGATAGACAGCACTAAAGCTTGTAGCATATCTTTTTCAGTTTTGGGGTGAACTGCCCCTTTAAAACAGATCATCATGTTCCCTCCCCTGGATCCTTCGACATTTGACCTCAGACAAACAAACAAATCTAACTGTGACGGTGGTTACTGATCAGCCCAAACATGGGCGCAAAGTTGGAAAATCTTGTCATAGGACCTGGTGGCATAGTGACTAAGATCATATTTCGTTTGCATGAAAGCATGTTTGTCTGACTAACAGTGGCAGACGAAACAGGCCGAAAGACCCGACTTGGGTCTAAACCCCAGTCCTGCAAAGGGGTGCCGCTGGTGCCCACAGTGGTGTAGAGGTTCCTGGATCATATCTCCAGAGAGAGCGGGATTAGTGCCCTCTCACTCAGGATGCCATTCTGCAGGACTCCTTGCGGTCCCTGGTGCTGGATGCACACATTTCTATGTGTCTCCTGCTGTAAATGCTAAGTGACGTTTGACTTCCTCTGCATGAAGTCTTGTCTGGAGCAGTGTTGCCAAAAATTTAATGAATGCCCCCTTCAACAGGAGGCACCTGTAGTGCTGTGTGAGTTAGTAATTAGTGCTGGTGTTAAGCAGATGCTGCGTGACTGTTTGAAGAGGTCACACTATTATGGTCTGCCAAGCGATTCAGCCATCCTGGCTCACGTGGAGAGCTTTCTCCTGCAGTGGTGACAATGGAACAGCAGTGGTTTCATAATACCAAGACCTCCACACATTGGGGAATGATGCTTTTCTGTGTCCACTGTCCTGCTTGAAGTCTAGACATTGTTTTGTAAGCCAACATCTGCTGGTTCTGGGGCAGCTGTCTGCTCTTCCAGACACGCTTACCTCCTCAGCCCTTAGACGTTCAGTCCGTACAGGTCATGACTAGGCTTTCACTGGCCTCTGTTATTGTCAGGGCGTTTTGTGAGGTTGTTGCTCTCCCCGCTAGGCAACGCTGGTGGCAGTACACTGAAGAATTTGCATTATGGGGTTCTAGCTGCTGGGGGGGGTGGTTTTTCTACCGTGGCTTCTTACTGAAGTGAAGTTTTCCCTCAGTACATTTATAGTTGGGATCAAATTTTACCCGGCAAACCGAGGCAAAATTCCTGACTGTTAGTATTACTGTTTTAATTAACTTTAACACCGTGGCTGATTTACCGCGCTTTGAAAACTCGTGTTAAATCCTGTCCAGCATCTTCCAAAGTTAGCGACAGTTTCCCAGACGCGGGTGCAAAGGCGCAGCACTTAATGTGGGTTTGTTTTCGATCAACGGAAACGCGGCGGAAGGCTGTGACGACACTCCAGATTTAACGCGGTTTTCATACGCTTACATATGGCATTAGCTCCTTTATTATTTTTAGTGTTTATGTAACTGCATAGTGCTTCTAATCTTATGTGTGGTTTTCCATGTAAAACTTGGTGAAATTATTGCAGTTTGTGTATCAGTATTACCGTTAAAATGTGCTGAAAGCGTTTTAAAACACTTATAACACTGTGATAATTTTGGCCACTATAATCATGATAGTAAATTTTCATTCCGTTTCATCTTTAACTCATGTCCTGCTGTTCCTGGGTGTCTTGCTTCACAGACACCTGGTTTCCATGTATGGATATAAAATTAGTGGAGCACTGCTGTGGAAATTTTGACTAATCAATTACTGATACATTGTCTAAAATTTAAATATTAATATTTTACATCTGTGTTAAATGTACGTGTATCGGCTAGTTTTTTCTCATGAAGATTTGCTGAATTTGCATGTAAAGCTCCTGCTTTGCATCACTGTACTTTTCCACCTGGTCCTCGCAGCAGACGCCCCGAAAGTCCGCATTATTTTTCCCTCCCGGCTGAGAGACAATCGGGGAAACACTGAGTTAGCCTGAGAGATGTACTTCAGCCAATCGACTACAGGCTATTTCGTTTGTGATTTCTGTGGGGGGGGGGCGGGTGCATATCAGAGAGTTGCTGACATCGCTAATGTGTTTTAAATGGCATTACTGTCACTAAATGCAAATTTTAATTAGTGAAACTATTACTTGAGGCAGGCAGACAAAATAGGAACAAGACCCAGCTTAGGGTTAGGTGTGAGTCTTTCTGTCAAGCCTCAGTGCCTTGCAGATCGTACGTACATCAAGGGTGATCTGCTGTGGCCACTGTACTCCTCAATCAAGATGGAAAACAAGGGGTAATGGATATTATTTAATTAATATAAGTAGTATAATGCATATGGTAGGTGACAGAGCAGCCCCCAAATGGACGCCCCTCAGCATCCGCAGGGGATTGGTTCCAGAACCCCATATTGGTACCAAAATCTGCATATGCTTATGTCCCTTATATAAAATGGTGTATTTGCGTACAACCTGCGCATATCCTATCGTATACTTTAAACCATCTCTAGATTACTTGTAATGCCTGATACAATGTAAATGCTATGTAAATAGTTGTTATACTGTATTGTTTAGGCCAGGGGTCGGCGACCTGCGGCTCTTACCACGTGGCTGCGGCTCTTCTCATAACAGTAGACAAATTCACATTTGCATGTCTTAACATATTACGATAATATTTTTGCAAAAGTAAATCATTTATTTATGGATTAATATTAGTTTTCGTTGAGATATTTCTTTACCTATATGTGAATGAGGCAGTCTGCTTCTGTTACGTCTTAACTGCATCATTTACATCTTCCTCAAAGTCATTTGCTAAAACGAGATTACGTCTCTGGTTAAATGGTGTGCTATTCTTAAGCACCTGAGCTTGGATGTACGCTTCAACGTTTATTGGGATTCCCAATTCTTTCATATACTGTTTGTGTATAAGTGCCACGACAGCAGCCCCCCTTCCCCCTAAAAGTTATTTGAATCTCGGATGCAGAACTTGTGGGTGCAAGGAGCCGACCGCATGTAAAATTGAGGAACCATCAATGGGAGATACTCCGATCTGCTAGTGGGCCAAAGATCTCCAGTCCACCTGTTCCTGAGTACACAGGCCTTGCCGAGTGGGAGTCTGGCAGGCTTTTAGTGGAACATAGGTCAAGACACACGCACAAAGCTGACAGCACAGAGCAACATAATCTAACGCTCTTGTTTGAAGTATAAAATGTGATTGTTGCTTAAGCTTTGCTTTGTTTCCTTTTGCCCAGGCTAATACCAGAACCACTGCAGGATGCGTGAATACAAGTTGGTGGTCCTTGGATCGGGAGGCGTTGGCAAATCTGCACTAGTAAGTATCTTCTCTGTGCCCTCAACCTCCCTGTCCGTATGTATTTAGACTTTTAGATTTTGCAAAGAATGAGGCATATTTCAAGAACATCACACTTATGGTATTATTGTAACAGGTTTTCCTCCCTTACTTTGTTTCGGTTAATAATCTTTGAACTGTGAGTCGATCACAGCAAGGTAATTTAACTTGTGCTGGAAAAACCAACAGAGGCTTGTGCTGGGAGTGGACTTTGTACATCAGTCACAGACTCCATAGACACACGGAATGGGCGGCTGTCTGAGGTGTGCTGGGCATCTCGTGAGGCTTTACGATATGATGTCTCTACTGTCTAAGTGTCGTGTGGAGGAGTGTTCCCCAATCCAGTCCTCAGGGACCCACAGACAGTCCGTGTTTTTGCTCCCTCCCTGCTCCCAGGAAGCAAAAATGTTGAGTGTCCGGCAGGGTGCTGGGAGCAAAAACGTGGGCCTTCTGTGGGTCCCCAAGGACCGTGTCAGGAAACGCTGGTGTAGAGAAACGTGCCGCTTTGAGGTAATCTGTTGATCCTGGCTCTGTTCTTGTGGAGTGCAAATGGGCTCAGCGGTGCATATTCTCAGTGACATGACAAAGAACATATTTTACAACTGATCACCGGGTTATGGTGCAGGTGGGGGCTGCCGTGGGTGGCTCTGGTGTCCGTCGCAGCCCAGTGGCTCTGTTCAAGCTGACGGTCGCTTCTGCCTCCACACTCCGTGCTACTTTAATTACTTTTACATTAAGTTACTGTCGTTGAAGAGCTTTAATTATTAACCATGTGTAGGTGTACTGTATCTTTTAGTGGTATAAGGAGCATGTCATGATGCAGATTCACAGCGTTTACTGTCCATGGTGTCCCCTTGCCCCCTTCTCTCTGCAGACTGTACAGTTTGTTCAGGGGATATTTGTTGAGAAATATGACCCTACAATAGAAGATTCGTACAGAAAGGTGAGTTTCCGTCCCCTTCCTTATTGTGCACTGTCACAGCAGTCCTGCAGTGTTTCCATTCTGTGCTTTGTTTGATTTCTGTGCTGTGTGCTGTAGAGCCAGTGGAGTTTCTTTTTAAAGGGGCTTCTTAGTTGGATGAAGCGCAGCTGTAGCCCACGGGGTGGTTTAAATGCTCTGTATAGATTGAATTGACCTCTTCCTGGGCTTTCTTGTGTTATTTTGTTAGCGTAATGGGTAGTGATGAATGACTCCCCATGTCTTGGAGGCCGGGGTTTGGTTCCCCGTGATCGTCTGCCACTTCCTGGGCCGTGCCACCTGCTTTGAGTCGGGGGTCGCTCCCCGCTCCCCCCCACTGAGGGCCAGCAGGGTGGCGTTGTCCTTCCCAGCTAACCGCACCTCTCTCTCTGCAGCAAGTGGAAGTAGATGGACAGCAATGCATGCTGGAGATCCTGGATACAGCAGGGACGGTAAGAGGCGTGTTGGAGGGCCGGTGGCGTGGGTGTCGGGATGGAACGCGGCTCCTTGGCTCATCGCACTGCAAGGGGCTGCATGCCTGTTTCTGTGTTTGCCTGTATGTTATCTTTTATACACTGTATGGACAAAAGAATTGGAACACCCGCAGTAAGTACCGGAACGGGCCACATAAGCCCACACCCTTATGTTTGTCGTGTTACCACAACACTGAACTTTCGCAGGACAAAGTTTGCATGCAGCTAGGCTCATGTCCAGGTCCTCTTTGCCGTTTAAATTTTGAAAGCCAAAGTTCCTCCATACATTGGATTTAAACTGTGGAGGAGCAGCACGAAATCTCTGCCATCATCCACCATTCCTGTTATTGCTAAACAAAGTTAGAAAATAATTGGCTGCTACTACACAGGACACTGTGCTGCCTGTCAATGTGGGAATAGTTTAGGGTGCCACCTATAGGATTGTAGAGTCACTACAGCGTTTCTCCACCTCGAATCCAAACATATATAAAGTATAAATTAATAAAAATGGCGATACATGAATCACCGCACAAAAGAATCGTGAGTTGCTTTTATTTTCCCCATCTCTAGCTGTTGTAGCAACTAAGGGATAGCAAACTTCATATAAATATTCTTTGATTTAGAGTGAGATGTTGGATATGCTGGTGTCCCAATACTTTTGTCCATACAGTGTATATTAAAGTCTGTTAGATTGAAGGAGGCAGATTGGCCGTTCATCTGTTTCCCATAGTGCTGTCGGTTACTGTAGCTAAGCTACCTGTCGGCACGGTTCTGCCAGGCGACCCGCCGCTCTTTCCGAGCCGGTCCGTAGCCGCAAGGTGCCAAGTGCAACCGCTTGGACTTTGTGGGATCCGGACTGGCCAGCAATTACTGCCGGATACTCCGCTCCTCAGCCGCCTTCTCTCTGCATCTCTCACCAGTCATGCGGCCGTTACCCCTGACAACGGCTTCCAGTGGACAGTGGCTAAAACGCAGTATATCTACAGTCAGTTGTATGAATTTGAATGCTAACTGTATAGTATCTATGGTAAAGTTAATCATGTTATTTTTTCACACCGTTACTTCTGACAGCTGTGTTGGAGTTTAAGGATTGTGCTGTTTCACACATTAGCCTTCACAGAATATCTTTATTGAAGGGGGCTTTTTTTAATTTCCTTTGTAAGAGGTTGACAGTTGGAGCAGCCGTTTCGTCCAGCTCTCAGAAAGGGAGCTTACGTAAGCCGTCTTGCTTTTTTCTGTGATCTCACGGCCACCGAAAGAACACCAAGCTTAACAGTGTTGCACTTCCCTGCCGGTACCCAGCATTTGACCTCCACAATCGAGTCCGGATGTTTTACACTCGACAGACTTTCTCCTGTGACCTCAGTTTTTTTTTTTTTTTTTGCTTTTGCAACAGGAGCAATTCACGGCCATGCGTGATCTGTACATGAAGAATGGCCAGGGATTCGCATTGGTCTACTCCATAACGGCACAGTCGACCTTCAACGATCTGCAGGACCTGAGGGAGCAGATCCTGCGGGTGAAGGACACGGACGACGTGAGTGGCCCGACTCGGAGGTTGGCTATAACTCAGCCAGTCCTCTGGTTCCTGGTTGAACGGCGGCACCACTGCCACATCCAAATGGCATATTTGGTTTCTAATTTCCTTCATCGAACCATGTGTCTGTACAGTTGTATGGCATTTTTCCCTCCAGTGTTTATTTCCCAGGATTTTGTGCACAGATTCGTGCACAGTGCAGTCGTGAACCCACTACCGCAAATGTGGAGTTGACACCTTTCTGTGTGGTACAAAGTTAAACCAGTGAAGAAATTGCACAGGCATACAATACCCACATTATCAGGACACTGTTGCATTTTCTCTGCAGCATAGTCTGGGGCTTTGTGCTGCTGGATAAAAGTCCCATGATGCCCGGTGCTTTTGCTGGGAGCAGCCCTGACACACTGCACACACAGATTCCTGTCCCGAGCCGCTGCCCCCCACCCAGGCCGCATCAGACCGGAAAGCACTCAGTTTCTCCTCCAACGGTCCCCAGCTCGCGTTTGTCGCTAGAACGATTAGCTTCCTGATTGCTCACAGGAAGTGTGCAAATGTCAGCCTGTCAGCACAAAACGCGATAGTCGCTGGAAGGAAATTTATTTGCACTGAAGTGGGCACCAGCGGGAAATGCACAACAAGATTTGGATTCTACACATGCATGTGTTCTGGTAATGATGTAGGTAGTACTTATTCACATTTAATCAACCCAGAGTCTACTGCTATTGCTCGTAAACATTAGGTTTACAGGTCTCCCCCGCTGTCCGAAAGTAGATCATTCCTGTGAAACCTTTTATAAGCCAAAGTGGTGTAAAGTGAAGAAGCAATTACCTTTTATGCATATGGGAAAAATATTTTGGCGAAGAAATTACCTATCAAATCATACAAAATAACAAATAAAATGTAATATAACACTTAGTTATAGTAATGATATGATATAGTAGAAATATAGCCTATTTAAAGTGTAGCTTCACTTACGAACGTCTGTATGGTAGTCAGCCCAAATAACGATAAAAAGTACAGTGTAGTAATTGCATAGACCAGTAACATAGTTGTTTATTATCATTATCAAGTATTATGTTCTGTACGTAATTGTTTGTGCTATACTTTCATATGACTGGCTGGTTTGCTTATACCTGCATCACCACAAAAACATAAGTAATGCGTTGTTACAATCATTACAATGTTGCTAGGCGATAGGAATTTTTCAGCTCCATTATAATCCTATGGGACTTTTGTTGTATATGCGATCTGTCATTACGGCACATAACTGTATATATATGATTGGCTAGCTAAGTGCTATTTTTGCATTTCTCCTTTTTTCGTTAGAGTGAAAATCTTCAGATTCATTTCGGTCAGCGAATACTGGTACTTACGTAGGTCTTTTGTGAAAGCAAAGTAGCGTAAGGCAAACGCTCGCAAATACCTGTAAGCAAAGTGGCGTAAGGCAAACGCTCGCAAATACCTGTAAGCAAAGTGGCGTAAGGCAAACGCTCGCAAATACCTGTAAGCAAAGTGGCGTAAGGCAAACGCTCGCAAATACCTGTAATTGGTTTCATCATTCAGTATTTTTTTTTTTATTTTTTTTTTTTACTGTTGTTAGGTGGAGCACCACTAGGGGGCTCTTCATAACGTGGCTTACACCCCCCTTCCATTATGTCTGCCAACCCCCTCATCCAGGTGCCCATGATCCTGGTAGGAAACAAGTGTGATCTTGAAGAGGAAAGGGTGGTGGGTAAAGAGCAGGGTCAGAGCCTGGCACGGCAGTGGAGCAGCTGCGCCTTCCTGGAATCCTCTGCGAAGTCCAAAATCAACGTGAACGAGGTGAGGGAGGCCCACAGCCCTCGCTCGCCCAGACCTGGCTCCTAGTGGGGGTTTCCATCCGCGGTGCTGGTGCTTCGGCGAGCCGAGATTTGATCCATCACCCAAAGCCACTCGAGTTATGTGACACAGCACAGCAGGCAAACCTGTTTGTTCCTCTGTCAGATTAAAAGTCCTATGGATTCAGATACATGAGGAAGACATGCTGGGTTAATATAGCAAATACATGGTTTAGTACTTAGAGTTAATAGGAGAGGCTATGTAATTTTTTTTGATTAGTGAGGCCCATCAGCTGAGCATTCAGACTCCAGCAGATGGTCCTAAATTCAGGTGCATCATTTCAAATCCAGAAGACATTTACTCATGTGCCATTGCCCTGAAGCTGTGTGATGTTTGGAAGGACTTTTTGGGAGTTCAGGATTTGGGGACTGTAAAGTGTGTTTTCGCAAGGGCTAATGTTGATGTGTAAGGTTTGGTCCAGACTATTGTAACACATTCTAGTTTTTTAATAGAGTAAGAACTTGTTAAGCAATGAGTGAGAGTGTGTGTGTGTGTGTGTGTGAGTGTGTGTGTGTGTGTGTGTGTGAGTGTGTGTGTGTGTGTGAGAGAGTGTGTGTGTGTGTGTGTGTGTGTACTACTCGTATCATCCTGGATTTCAGCCAGAGCTAGTGCTGTCATTGTTTATCTTTGCTGGAAGAGCTGCATGTCGCTTCCTCCCGACACTGACGTCTTTTAAACCGTTTCCAGATCTTCTATGACCTGGTTCGGCAAATCAACAGGAAAACCCCTGCTCCTGGGAAAGCCCGCAAAAAGTCGACCTGCCAGCTGCTCTAATGCGCAGCTGTGCTGATTCTCTGAGCCAGGTGAGTGCTGGGGGGGGGGGGGGAGGTAACGGGAATAGTAAGGGTCACTGATAAAGCCAGTGCTGTCAGGCACAGATCAGTTTCAGTCCTCTCTTTGTTGGTCTTCCAGTGGTATCAAAGCAGCAGTGGTTGGCCGTGCAGGGTAATCCCGCCCACAGTGGGATGCACTGCCTGATTTTCCCATCAGTGCATGTTGTGATGCGGTAGGGTGACAGGAAGAAGGTGGTCTGACCTAGAAAAATATTTGCTGTGTAATAACATGCTAGTCTGTTACTTAAGTCTTCTTGTCTCTAACTGGTTGTACTTCTCTCATGGATGGCATTTTGTCCTGAATAACTGTGTGGTGCCCAGTAGACCTGGCCAAACTCTGCCCCCAAATGGTTGATTAGAATCGTTACTCCTTGTCATGCTTGGGCAGGTGGGCTTGGAGGTCTTGGCAGTAATTACGGCCTGATCCTGGGCTGGGAGCCGCCTGATGAAAAACATTAAAGTAGGACGCTAAGGAAGATTATGACAAGCTTTTTTTTCGAGGATATCTCATGACCTACAAAGGGGGGGGGGGGGTCACTTGAACTGCTGACTAAGCATATTTTGAAATTCTTTGTGTTTTTTTTTCCTCTTTCAGTTCCGTTTGAGCCCTTTAACCACCACCCAACACACTCCTAAAGCAGCACTATATAGCGCCTTGCTGTTCCCCATTGTCACTCGATCTCTCTCTGCCCTCCCCTTCCCCAGGTCTGATGAGCAGCCGTCTCTGTTGGCAGCTGAACTGAAAGCATCCTGCAGCCGATGTCTCTGTGTCTGGACCTCTTTGACCGACGCCACAAACAACGGGACTCAAAATTCCATGATTGTACATTATCTGATAGTCACTTTGTGCACATAAACTGCTCACTCGCCTGCATTGCAACAGATATTTCGGGGGATTCTTCCTTTCCCTCGTCGTTCTGTGTTCTCTCACTCACTCACCCACATCTCAACACCTATTCTAACGGTTTGGACATGAAAGGTTTTGGGCTACACACAGTATTTTTGCTAAAGGGGGAGAATGTGCTGCTCCCATCTCTACATGTGAGGCAGTGCAACCAAACAGTCCCAGGGCCCAGCGGTTGGCTTTGGCCAGTATGACCGTGTGAAGCTAGAGGGCCTCTGTTTAAGCAACAGGGGGAAAGTCCAAAGAGCCGCTATATACATGCTGTTAACTTCTGCTTCTTTGGTATTAGTACCGTTTTCAGTTTTTTTTTTTCTTTTTAAGAATTACTAAATTTGTTTTGCTGCGATTCTATATTGTCACAGCTTTTATTGATTTTATCTTAGGAGAACCTGTGAGCAGTGATACGTGTTTGTTTTTAACCTAAGATGTTGCCTTCTGCTATGGTAACTGATTATTTTTTTTCTTTCCGGAGAATTATTCTGAAGACACATGAGCTTTAACGTGTGTTTGTTCAGATTTCTTGCGTCTGCTTTTACAGCTGGGGGTGGCGCTCGGGGGATTTTTGGGGGGAGGCTCTTAAACCTATGACCCCCTCCCTGTACCCCCAGCTGGGACTTTCATGGGGGGCCGTAACCAAGTGGCTGAAAGTCAGGTCCACCTCTGTGGAATCCCTGCTCCACAACATGAAGTATATTATAAATATAAATATAAAATATATATTTTAAAATGAGGATTTTTATTATTGAAATAAAAAAACGATGTTATTCTTCATGCTTTGGTGACTGTAGATTCCTCCTATCCTTGCTTGCACCTGCACCAGTGTTAAAACTGGAAGACTGAGAAATCAAACTGGTTTCATACTGGTTGTCTGCTAATACTTGTTTTCTTTCTTTTTTTTTTCTTTGGTCAGTTGTCACAGTGGTGGTTGGTTTGTCATTGAATGTTTTTATTTTTATTTTTTTTTTTGGGGCGGGGGGGAGGTTATCCAGGGAATGCTGTGTTGCTCGTTGGCATCGTGTCCTGGAATCCTAGGTCATGTGACACTCATTCTCCAGAGCTGTGGAATTTCGAATACAACATCTGCTTATTCTGGTGGCCAGATGTTATACGCCTTAATTAAAAGTGATGCGGTTTTTGTATGACTGAGAAGCTGTCATTCAGTAAATTGGATGCACAAAATATTAATTGTATCAAGTTTTCCTGGCCAATGAAGGCTGCTTGCCCACTTACACCCCCATCCCCCCCCCCTTAAATGTGATGCTGGGGAGCTTAGAAACATACCACCAACTGGTTTTCAGTGGGAATTTTCTTTCCAAAGGGGGGAAGGTCCTGAATCTTAATTTTCCTTGTAAAGTTGTGTGATGGTGTAAAAGTCAGAGTTGCAAATCCAATGAAATGTACCGTCTTTCTTGAGCATGTGAGAGAGTTTTTATCCTGATCAGCCGACTCAGAGTTGTACAAAACACTGTAAACTTGTCAGGTATTCAATATTAGCATGTAAACCTATATTTTTAAAGGTAAGAACAATATTAATATAAACTTGAGTAAAATTGTCTTCGTTTTGTGACTTTTGTTGTTGCTTGGTTTTGTCATGACCTCTGANCACTGTAAACTTGTCAGGTATTCAATATTAGCATGTAAACCTATATTTTTAAAGGTAAGAACAATATTAATATAAACTTGAGTAAAATTGTCTTCCTACTGAGAATTTTGAAGTTGCTTGGTTTTGTCATGACCTCTGACCTTGACAGCAGCAGTCACACAGTTCACATTGTCGTGGTCCTTCCCAGCTGACGTTCGCGTCGGTGCATTTCGGCCAGGTCTGTAGCTTGCTTTGTTTTTGTGGTAGTGCTTTTATTTTGAAGCCTTCCCCACCCATTGTTTGATCGTAGCCGCGCATATGGCGGCACAGGTGAGCGGTTCCCGTAATCTACACCCGCACTTATCAAATATCTCGTAATGGATATGTTTCTCTGTTCTGCCTCCTGCACACTGGATTCGGATAAACGTGTTTATCAGCCGGCAACTCCAATCTGGTTTATAAGCATGGATTTTCTGGGAGTCTCAGTGTTTTAAGAACCAATATCGCAAGCATTTATATTGCCAAGGAAATTGTGTTCTGTCCAGTCTGGACACTTTGAGCCATATTTGCCAAAATAAACAGGATTTCTGTTTTATTTCATTGTTCTCTGTGAATAGGGCTTTGTCATAACTGAATGCTTAACCTAGTGCAGTTTCTTGGGGAGCGTCTCACGTCAAATCCCCCCCACCCCCCCACCGTGGGTGGCGTAAAGCAGCCTTATTTTGTTACTCGTGAAACTTGGCGTTGGATGTCAAAGGTGGCTGGTTGGGTTTCTGCATTTAAAACCAAATGATGCTCTGTACTGGTATCAACACTTTAATCTTGCATTTCTCACGCTTTGAGAGTGTTGACGACAGTGTCAAGTATATCAATCCAAAAATAAATTAATCGTTTTTATTTTTAATCCATTGCTTGTGTAGATAACGCTATCACTGTTGGGTAAAAACTGCTCGTTCTGGGAATATAGCCTACACGTTTTCACCTACATACAGTATTCTTCCATACATGGACGTAGTATGTATGTGTTTGGCGCTCAAATAATTCTTCTCTTGTTGGTACTGATAGTTTGGCCAGTGGTAGAAAAAGGAGCATAATTTGATCGTACTTTACACAGATTCGAACACTGCGATGTCTAATTCGTATAACAAAATGGTATCTAATGTCAATAATACCAGTAACCTATTTAAACATTTAGCAAAAACCCACCCAAAGCTGCGTACTGAATTTTTATGTACTGTATTTGGCTTAAGTACAAAAATCTGAAGTGAAAACAAGTGTTTCACAATAAAAAGAAAATACTGTAGAATTTAGTTTATAGATTATTGGTAAATTCGGCCTAGAGTTCTTTATAACAATAACATTGTATTGACATTTTAAAGCCTTTTTAAAACAATTTTTTTTTTACATTAAGCTGTAAAATCATGAGTGATTTACTAATAAATGGATATATTTGATGTTCTGTAATTGAAGTTGAAATCTTTTTGATGGTACCCCTAAGGAGAGGTCACTGGTCTGAAACGGACCAGACTACGTGACCAGTCTCGGTGTCGTGTCAGCGACATCGCCACAAAATATCACAAAACATAAATCTTTGGGTATCGCCCACCTATACGCTCTAGGTGAGACTGCAGTACCGCAGTGACTACACATTCTGCTCTCAGGTTCAGATTATGTCAGTTTGCATGTCACATGATTTAAAAATTTCCTTGTACAGAACATGTGCCTTGGAGATTAGTTTTACGTTTCACAGCTGTTAGGGAACCAGCAGCTAGACTAATTTCTGCTGAGGGGCTTAGGATGGGTCTCGTGGTATGTCGGTGGGATTAACATTTGTATCGAACTTATTGTGAGGGTCATTGAAATTCAGTATAATCAAATTGATGACTAACAAAAATACAAATCTAGTTGCAGTGTATATCAATAGAAAATAATTGGAACCATAAACTCGCAAGAATTAATCTTTAGAAGTGTCTCTGTACCTATACCTGAAACATGCTATAGGTAGGTGTATTTATACTGGGTTTTAAGGGCTAAATAAAACACTTGTTATAGGACTACATGAAGATGTTAGCCTAGTTACATCGTTATATTGAGGTTCCTGTAAAATTATGATCATTCAATTTGCAGTCAATTTACCCATTGTGACGTGCCGCTGAACTGAATCTGAAGAGGAAAACCTTGGTCTGTATTGTTTGCGACGTACCACTAGGGGGAAGACTTTGCCAATTTATGGAAGATACAGGCCTTTGACCATACTGATGGGTGGATTCAGAAAACGCCCCCGATTTTTATCCAGTTTTCCCATTAGGCAATAACGTCAGTTGCCCAAACATGCTGGGTGTATAAATATCCGTCTGTAAAACGCGGGGAGAAGGCCATGTTTGTTTATTTAAAAAAAAAAAAAAAAACTATAAATTTCACAGTTTGTTACTAAAAGGGATATTTATATTGTTGTAGGTGAAATAAAATTGGAATTGTAACGTATGCAAGGTAAAATAAAATCAAGCATGAAGTCAAACTACTGCTAGTTCCCATAAGTAAAATGGTGGGGGAGGGGGGGTGCTAAGTACATTATTTTATACGTTTGTACATTTTTTCCCATTGGATTTGATCAGATCATGGCAGCATGCAATACTTTTTGAGGAAGAAATATGGTTTGGTTATGGTGAAAGCCATAACCAATCCAAATACAGGCATAATAAGAGTTAATGCTCCCGAACAGGGCGAGTTCAAGGTACAAGTGAACAAAGTGGCTGCTTAGGGTCCAGCGGACACCAGGGGGCGCCCCATCTGATCAGAAGATGGCAAAGGAAAAATATGTTAATCCAATTTTGCTTCAGGTTTGGCCGGTCCAGCTCTGAAATATTCCACAGCTGAAATGTCCCCACCTGGTTTATGAGCTGCATCAAGCACTGCTGTGCGTTTAGCCTGGGCGTATACTCCCTGACCCGCAGGTCACCTATAGGAGGCGCTACCGCGGAAATAAAGATTCAAAGCACTCCAGCAACAGTCTTTCCTCTCTGCTGTGGTCAGGGAGGCACCTGCAGCCTGAAGGCCAACAGTAGGAGATTTAGCAAAAATCTCTCGGTGACTTAGCAACCAGTCTTATGCACTTTACACTACTCCTCTCATCTTACGTCATGCTAACGTAAACTGCTTTACGTAAATTAAAATACATTTACTGATATCCATCCATCCATTTGTCCTATGGAGGGTCGCGGGACTCCAGACCCTATTCCAGATGCTACGGGTGCAAGGTGGGTAATATCCCCCAAGGAGCAGGGCTCTACAGCGCGAACGTGAAAAAGATTTAGGCGCACTGACCTAAAATCATTAAACAGTGTATTTTACATTTCAAATAAAATGTAGTGTTGCCAACTTTGGCCAGCTGGCTGAAGTGAGATTTCCGATTCGAGACAAGTCTACATTTACGTACATATATGTAACAGTTTTATTATCTTGCAAATAGTCTGTAGGGTTTGCAAACTACCCCAACGCTTCTGGTGTCGCTAATTTTAGGTTTATAATGGTGTGAGAGTCACGCCAGATGCGTGAGAGTTAGCAGCCCTGAAAACGTAAGTTAGTTTGTTCCACCAGAGTTGATTTGTATAAAAAATGACTTACTTTATACAGTTGCTAAATAACGTAAACTATGACCAACATGAACTCACCACTAAACTACGTCTATTTATGCAGCATTTTATAAAATAGGCCTACTGCGTTTAAAAACTTTGCAGCTTCAAGATTTCATGACAGAGCCGCGGTTCTGTCATAACTCATAAAATCCTACCTATCGAGACGTGCTATCGAGCCTTTTTGCGCATGTGCAGTTACACCTTCTTGCGATTAGGGTTAAGGTAAGGGTTTTAGGGGGTTAGGGTGAGAGTTAGGGTTATGGCTATCGATTAGCACTACTGTAGCATTTTTCGATAAAGCAGTATTAATCGACAGAACACCGCCATTCTGTTAGGAACATCGCGGCTTGGCGGTTTAGGGCGTTAGATTCGCTGCTGTTATATTAACATTAATATTAACAGTAATGGCACATTAGCGCAAACAAAAGGGTCGCATTCGCCGAAGTGCATCTTGCTGGGAGGTTAAAGGAGTTTGATGTTCATTAGTTTGGGAAACCACGCATCTTGCATGAATTAAGGCAGCATATATGCTGATTTAGCGAATATATTTTACTTTTTTACTATATATGTATGCAGCCGGGTTATTTTTATTTGATGTGTACAATTACACAAAATCTGTTTATTTTGAATTTCTTAATTTGGAATCAGGACGTGGCGAATTTTCAACAGAAAATTCACACAACGCGCAGATAAACCTGTTACCCATAATACACGTACAAAGCTTGGCCAAGCCACTTGGAATTATACAATTACAATATCAATTGTAATGTGAAATATAAAACAGTAAAAAAAGACAAAATACGAAAATAAAAATCTAGTTTCTTGTCAGTTTTGTCTGTCATGCTTGACCTTCCCGTTCCACTAGCTTGTATGTGAAATTGTATTATAAGGATGCATTACGTTTGAGTGCTTAAAAAACAGAACTAACTGTCCTCCCAAATTTTTGTCTGTGCTTCTAAATTTATAACTTAGGGGCACAAGTGCTCCATGAAAAAAATAGCGTAGAGACCTAATGATGATATTTTATTTTATTGTTTGTTTAAGTTCCAATTATTTACATATATATTTTAATATTATTTTTTGTTGTATTACATATTTCCATTGAGTACATGGCAAAACCATTTCACTACACATGTATGTGGCAAATAAAACTTAAACCAAAGGAAATTCCTATGGAGGTGCTGCCTGAAATGTAACCATGTTACTATATAATGTCGATAAGTTATTGAGTGTGATAATGGATTATTTTATCCTCAAGGAAAGTGACTGTTGCACATCTTTCTTTACTAACTTGTCTTAAGATTTTGGAAGAAGATCTGATAATACTTGATATCAAAAATATGCAAATAAACTGGGAAGAAAATTCCTTTTCAAGGTTGTCAATAACATTATGTTTTAACAAAGTAAATATAAAAAATATATATCTGGGCACAAAAAAAAATTGGTTTTAGGTCTCCTACAAAATCCCGGATAATGAAATCTGTTTTATAAGTTATTAGTGATATTAATATCTCCCGTCTTTCATGCTTTCCTCCAATAATGAATAAAAATTAAAATCTTGTGAGCTCCAGACTAAGGTGTGTTAGAAGATGAGGGAGTGTGATCACATTACTGCAAAGGCCAAAAAAAAAACAGTTAAAAAGAAGCTCTCTGTGTAGAAAACTTGTGGCATCCCCTTATGAGTTAGTTATTTAGCACAATTAGATTAGTGACTTCTCTGCAACCAGAACTTTTCATTTTAACCTTTGGTTTTCTCCAGTGAGTTACATGGGATAACACTGACTTCTGAGGAATCAATTCAGTGGTCTAGCTTGTACAGCACTTGTAGACTTTTTTATCTCAGGGCCTGCAAGATGTTTAAAAATCTGATTTTTTCCACTTGCTAGCTTCAGTAGAAGCTCATGAGTTTGTGCCACTATGGTGAGGTGTGCTCAGGCTGAGGGGCAATGGAGCAGTCTTCCCAGATGAGGGGCAATGGAGCAGACTTCCCAGATGAGGGGCAATGGAGCAGACTTCCCAGATGAGGAGCAATGGAGCAGACTTCCCAGATGGGGGGCAATGGAGCAGGCTTCCCAGATGCTTACTATCACAGTAGCTCTTGACATATAAGAAAAGTAGCGAGGTATCTACTGAGCAAGCAGGCACCGTGGATTGGTGTAAAGTGCGACTCTTTGGCATTCCCAGAATCAGTCGGGACTGCAGTGTCAGGGTCTCTCCGACTCCCAGCAAGGACGAAGTTATGTATCAGTGCAGAGAACCTGTCCGGTCCGTATGGAATGGAGAGTGTCTCTATCACTGGGGCTTGACCTTCAGCTGTCACCTGTGAAGAAATTTTACAAGTTAGATACAGGTATTCATACAAGACCTGCTCTCAGTTGGGTGGGTTTGCATCACAGTAAGGCACGTGTGATTGGGTTACTTAGGTCTTTCAAGTTCTGGTACAAAGTAGGTGTCCAACATCAATCAGAGGAGAAGTGGGAACAGTTAACTATGGGTAGCCCCTGTACAACAATCTCCATGTTCCTCCCTACCTTTAGGGTGTAGTTTCCAGGCAGTAGGAGTCTGTAGAACTCCCCGTTATGGTTTGTCCTGAAAGGGTACTGGTTTTTCCTCCCCAGCACCTCTACCAGTGCGTTTGCAACTGGGAGTCTGTTCGCATCCAACACCTGCCCCTTCACACCTGCAGAAACGGGACATCCAGGCTTGGCATTGGAGTGGGCAGCTGAGGACAGGTAGCGGTATTAATTCTGGCAGATTGGAGCACGTCGGACCAAACCGCAGCTGTCATGTAGCTGCATACACACCCAGGTGGATCTGCTGCATGTAGGCCAGAAGTGCAGCCTTGTTCTCTGCCCACAATCCAGGCAACATTTTTTCTGAGGGGTACTTGCAGCAAGACAGCTCCAGTGTCACCTCGAAACATTGGCCCCAGATATAGTTGTAGTCTTGCATCCCTCCTAAAAGCAGATCATACAACCTTATAATCTCAGATTTACCAGTAACTAAGACTGACAAACCATATACAGAGTTTATTAGCAGTTGGTGGCATTATCCATGCTGACCTGAGACCCGGTACCAGCGATACCCGTTGGTGATACCATTCTGGAAGCCTGTGGAGTCCGTGCAGGGTTTGCCCATGTGCATTAGTGTGTGGCTGAAAGAGTAGGTCCTGGCCAGGTAGACGAAGACGTCGTCATCGGGCGTGATGCTGGCCCCTCCCTGCAGCTCAATTCCTGGGTCAAACACCAACAGCTCTATACTCACTGGTTGCATTGTCGCAGTCACCAGTTCCAGAAGGCTGCATTATGGCAGACCAGAATTACAGTTTTTCATTTTCATTGGCAAAGATGCCTCATTTCATGCTAAAACCATTATGTAGTACCTGAAATAATTTCTGACAATGTGCTTGAAGTCTTTATCAGTAAAACCTAGGCTTTAGGCAGATTTGACCTGCAAATTCATGCGATGGCCCATTCTCTGACCTTCTTTACCTTTGTTGCTGTTGTCATACGGGTAACTGGCCACCATATCGCCGCCGTGCAGGTTAGCCGACAGCACGAAGGGCTCTGAGCGCAGCCAGTCCATCACCGCCTGCACTTCTGGCTCCCGCATCTGCTCCTTGCCCCTGCTGAAGGCATCTGGGAAGTTCCGGTTGAGGTCCACGCGATGTTTGTTGTACCTGAATACAAGATCTCTTTTGCTGTGGGTCTGTGAGGGTTTAGCCAAGAAATTAATCATCTGCCTGTGATGTGCAGAAAGACTGGCAGATTTTCTCACCTACTAATGGGGAGAGGGATTTTATCACAGTTCTCAGTCAGCCCCTTTGTCTGGTACATATGGAATACAATCTATGCTAAGCTTATTAACTAAAGTATAACTAAGTAATTAAGTAGAAAATTGCCTCAATAGCACTTTATTAATATAAAACCATATATTGTATTCATACCAACAACTACCAATCCATCCATCTTCCATACCTTCCATAGATGGATGGATGGATGGATAGATGGATGGATGATATAGTGAACGAGCCAGCTCACAACCTCTCCCAGAGCACTGTGCACTTTTTCAACATCCTTTCACACAGCCATTTATCTACTGAAGTGTTTCAGACATGAGTCTGGCAGGCTGTACTGAATTTAGTCATCAGCTAGAATGTTGGTGATTGGCCAATACTTTCATACTGTTGAAATTCAGTTTTATACATAAGGCCACAAAACACAAATTTAAGGTCTGTTGACAGAATAGAGGAATTCTCCTTAATCCGAGTCACAGTATCTTTCTCCTGCACACATAAAAATGCTCCCCTCTGAAATCCCCTTGTCTTTATACCCTGTTTCTGACACTGCATAATTTAATCCACTGTTTATTCCAGACACCTGTCTGCACCGCTTCCTGTTTATGCTTATTTGCGGATGTCTGACTCTGCATTTGGATGCTTATAGGAATATTTATCCTGAAGGACACATGGTGAAATGTGGCCCTTGTCATCAGGAACAGCTTGAGTTTGTGTTAATATCGACTGAGTCATTATATTCACTCACACAGGGTCCGGCTACTGTGTTTGTACCCTACAGATTCGATCCTGAGACGGCTCCCATGATGTCTGCTTAGTGCCTCAGATAACACCAGAGGAACTTAAGGCTCCTGTGTCTCGGTCAGGATCGAGACCTTACGTAATATTTCATCACGCTCGTTGAACTGGCTCCTTCACCTCAGAGCCCGTTGTGAAATCAGACATGTGTTTGGCTGGATATTTTCAGCACGTCATGCCCTATTAGGCGGCGGCTGCAGCGATGGCTCTCTAGCGCCTCCATCTGGCCTTAAGTGGGTTTATGTTGATCCATTTCACACAGTAGCACGCTTGGTGTATTTAGCATTCTTATAACTGCCTCGCTCCCAGTGCCCATGCGGAGTCATAGACGAGCTTCACTGCTCATTTCCCATCCAGGGCAAAGCAGAACTGACTTGCGCAGTTGGCACCCCCTCAGAAGATGGCATGCTAGGCAGCTGCCTGCGTCGCCTAATGTTCGACTGGCACTGCACACCCCCAAGTTCCAGTGCAACCAAAGTATTACAAAATGTCCTAATGATTCGCCCTTGTGATCAGCTTTATTTCCTTGCATATACCAGGAATAGACTTGTGTTCATTATCTGCTTTTAAAAACTGTGGCATCTCTCTAGAATTTCCATTATGCTGAGCCAGACTCTTGTAGAGCCCGGTGTGCACCTAACAGAATTTCTGAGAAGTGGTCTGTTCTTCTAACATGGTGGGGGGGCGATGTCACCTGCTTACATTCCAGGGAGACCAGAGTACATGATCTGTCTGAACCACTGTCCATCCTGAGCTCCGTCATCCAAACGCAAACTGCCCTTTTCCATGATGGAGTCAAAAGGAACTGAAGAATAGGATCTGCAGACATCTATTCTGCATATAGAATTCCATTGCTGAAGCTCACAAAACACTCACCTGTGATCTTTTTATGGCCCGATATGCACTGTTATTGTGAGACCTCACTTGGACGTACATATATTATTTTATTTTGTTTATACCAACTTTGATGGCTAGAAGAATACAGAAGTTTCCCTTTGTCTCAAACCCGGTCCACATGTATGTCTCTGAAGCGGGTTTCCTGTTCATCGGCACCCTCAATAAAGCATAAATCCGAGGGCTACGGTGTGGCCGCAGAAAGGCTGCGTGGGCAGAGCGCCGAGTCCTCACCTCCCCTTGGTGCGCAGGCAGCCGGGCACGGCGGCCTCAAAGCCGTCCGGGTTCATGGAGGGCAGGATGTGAATGCGGCTGCTGTTGAGAAGCAGCGTGACCGAGGGGTCTCTCAGGTAGTTCTTGGTGAGGTGCTCAATCAGCTGAAGCAGCAGAACACGCCCCACCACCTGGACCCACACACACAAACACACACATAACAGCATCAAACACACACGCCAGACCCACCGCACGCGATGCTCACCCTTCATTGTTACAGCCGTTCTTAACTGACTCTAGAGCAGGGGTGGCTGTGTATGCGGGTATTCGCTGCAACTCCCTAATTAAATTACTAATTAGAGGACTGATTGGCTGAAGAATCCTCACACCTGGGTTTGAACAGCTGACCTACAGGTTATCCCAAAAACCTGCATACACACCGGCCCTTTGTGGATAAGATTGCCCACCCCTGCTCTAGAGCCGCTAAAGGCAGCAGCAGAACAGAGGATGTTAGCAAAATTGAACATCACCACGAACAACTCTGCACAATCGCTCCAGGGGGCGCTATCCTGAAGCACCTTTAACCTCCAGCTCATTCCCCCACCATGTGCTAAGTAAGAAGCACCACTTGGGGGGGGGGGTCCCTCCTACTTGGACACCACAGCACCCCCCTCCCCCCAGGTGTCCCATCCCAACCCCCAGCCATAACATGTCATCTTTGCCATAGTAGAAGTTCATTGTGATCTGTTTAATTGCACATAGGCCTGTAGCAAATGCTTATTATTATTATTATTATTATTATTATTATTATTATTTTTCCTTAATAATAATTTCATTAATATTCCCCAATATTCTGGTTCTCAGGATTTGGTTGTGTGCACCGCATACATCCTAATTTGTGTGGACTACATTTTCTTGTTTACACTATATGTACTGTCTTTGCACCTTGTCTGTTTGCACTAAATGTATGTCCGCTTATGCGCTTCATACCTTTCTGCTATATGCAGAAGAATTTTCCCCTGGGGTCAATAAAGTTGGTCTAATCTAATCTAGTACGAAAGGAATGTACTGGGACTCTATGTAGACCGGTCATATGAGTGCACAATCCAGCATAATACCTTCCTGTTTCGTACCGCGCCGAGTCCGTGCCGAGGACCTTACCTCATTACCGTGCATGTTTGCGACGTATTTGAACTCCGGGATCCCCAGCTTGTGCTCTGTGGGAAACTTACCAAGAACAAGAACCCACAGTTCTCTCCCTTCAAAACAAGCAGAGGAATGTATCACTCGTTTACAGAACTAAATAGCCCCAAAAACGGAACTGTAAATAAAATGAGCAAGAAAGCAAATGAATTCTAATATGATTTCAGAAGAAAATTAAATTACTCAGTTAGTATTTATTTATCAGGTACGATCTGAGCTAAATAGTTAGAAAAAAACACAAGTAAAAACTGAGTCTCATTTTTTTGCACTTGTAGAACAAAGTATGCAAGCCTTTCAAGCCTCGTTAGGGGAAAACTGAAAATGAACATTAACTGGATGTTACAACAGCGACAAACAGTCTGCTGGTCCGTCCGCGAAAGTTAGGGTAGGAGGGGCTGCATGTCCCTTAGTGTGAGAAATGGAAAAGTGTGGGACGTATTTATTGAATCCCGTCCGGCGATCCATGCAGAGGTCGGTGAATCTCACTGAGGTTTTGGCACAGCTGTCTGGGCTCTGGGTGACACAATATGACAAGCAGCGTGTCACACAGCTGGCCGGCAGGACTCACCCTCAGAGGAAGTATTTTGGGTGGCTCCTCTGTGTCGCCTAATTACTGTTCCGGAGGTTGCGTGACATGCGAGTCGGTTTACTGAACAAGCGGCGGCCAGCAGCCCGAAATAGCGAAGTGGCGAGTGATAGTTTCTTGCGTCTCTGTATGTGTGTATCAAAGCAAGACTGTCTATATGTCTCCTGTCACTTCCTGCTGCGTCTCCGAGGATGACAGAGAGAGGTTTTGTGAAAATGTGCATATTTCGTGCAGATAACGAATCGATCAGTTAGGCTAAAGTGAGAATAATATGGACGAGTAATGACACATATAGACAATCCAGAATTACTATAAATTATTACTTGCTAAAATTTCAGAAACACTAACACTAACAACACTAACAAAGTATGACTTTAAATCTCACGTAATATTGTTATGTTTTCCTTTTAATTTTTCCTATAATGAACGCCCAATATGACCTTTCATTACACCTGCCATTTACATTTTTCACATTTTTAATTCATTGTACTGAAGCTCTTGTCCCGACTGATGCACACGGCAATAATTAACGTGATACACTCTGTGCACTAATAAGTTTACAACGAGGGTATAGCATTCTTATTATTTTCGTAACCTATATTAATGGTTAGTGTTTGCGACCAAATACAAAGTACTGCTAAGAACAGGTTTTGTTTAAGTGGTTTAAAATCTTACCTTCCACTGATTTCCCAATGCTATGCAAGTGCGTAAAAGATGGATAGTTATCAATGACCGATTTCAGATACTGTTCCATTTCCACCGTGTTGTGGTAGCGGAATTGCAGACCGGGGATTAGCCAAAGCGAAGCCCAGAAAAGCAGCCCCAGGACCCAAAGACGCCCCATCAGCTCAAACTGCAGACGAAGCCAGACGCAGCCCGCTGAGGTATCCCGGGATCGCGGGGTAGTCAACGCTCACTTTTTGAGAGAATTTCACACTTTCTGCAGTAACGATTTTCAGTTATAGGCCCTACCTGACAGTATTTCATTTAATCGAGGCTATTTTCAGTAAATGTAATGTGAAACTTTAAAAGTAAAATGAAAATATTTTCAAAATACAGAAACCGTAATAGTTTTAAATTTTAATTAAAAAATAACTAGGTTATGCATTATATGACTAAAACCCTGTGCTATTTGAAAGTATTAATATGTAACCAAAGAATCAAGGAATTCCTGCAACAACCGGAAAAATAAAATCACTGAATGTAACATGGCCATTTTTGTTTATTTTAGAGCTAAAGTAGGTTAACTTATTTTTCACTTTTTCGACACCTTTTAAACTACGTTAAATTCCTTTACGCTACTTGAATAACAATCGTTTTTGTCGGTCGTACTACCTAGTGCGTTACAATCAAACCACGGTGTCTGACCTCTGCAAAACTTAATGCCAAGATTCTTTTATCGATTAATTTTAGAAATCCTTCGTGTTGTTTAAATTGGATTTAGTCTCTCCGTGCCAGTCGTCCTGTATCACATCTCCCATAGGTCAGTGTGCTGCCCGGCGCTTGTCTCATAGTTATCCACTGAAAACTGCTTCCCTCGCTGCCGAAAACTTGTTTTCAAGAAGAAGTTTACGCAATTCCTGTTACTTTGGTCAATTCGACTTGGATGTCGGGCTCGATGGCATTTCCCATCCCGGGATATGAACCCACAACATACTGTTCCGGTTCTGTAACACCCGCCCCAGGGAGACATTGACATACGGTATGTCCGTAATGAATACCTTTACCTTTTGCATGTACAGATTTTTATCGAAAACCTTTCCCCTTCCTCTCATCTATAGATGCTTCTACAAAACATTTTATTTTTCCTCCATGATGAATCCCGAATCCCGTACAGCCGTCTTATAACACTGGTTTTAACTCCCCAATGACCAACCAGCGGACTGAGAAACTATTTCAGCAACATTAAGTAAATCACCAAAGTACAGTGGTACCTCAGTTCTCGAACTCATTAGTACTGGAATTTCTTAAAAGTCGAACCACCCAGTTCGAAAAAAATTACCTAGAGCTCGATCTGAATCTCAGAAGTCAAACCGTGAACGTCGACCTAAGATAACTTGTATGCTCGGAGAAATGAGTCACGCAGCACGTCTCTCAGCGGAAACAAATTTAGGGTAAAGCTTCAGTCTCCGCCTCGCATTCGCTGTGACAGCATCATGCATATTTACACTAGCTGAATACAGTAAAAATACATTTAGACAATGATAGACAGTAACAGTAATTATTCTTATATAATAAAATACATTTAAAAATAAAGATTTCTTATTCAATATTTTAATATCGTGCCGAGCGGGGACGGGACGGAGACAAAGACGTCAGGGTATGAATAAGGGGTTTAATTACAGGTAAGGCAGGCAAAACGGAGACGGACAATACAATGATCGGACTCGGGAAGCAAACTGAAACGCGGATTAAATACAGAGGGCTAATGAAAACAACCAGAAACAGCTGATCACATGGGGATTCCACAAGGGGTTAACGAGGAGCGTGGCACACGGAAGGAGTGGACTATCGGTGCAGGACATATTGGGGTTTTTTTTACTTTACACATTGTTTGGATACATTTATTTAATTACTTTACAAATTACTGTTTTGATAAATATGCTTAGATTTGTTTAGTACGGTATATTTCAGTATAGTTCTTGTTTTATCCGGTTTTTGTGTTTAAATGCTAAAAAAAAAATATTTAGGTGTCATTTTTTGGGGCTGGGAACCAATTAATTGGTTTTCCATTATTTCTTATGGGAAAAATTCGATCAGAACTCGAACTTTTTAGGATTCGATCTGGAGTTCTGAACGGATTAAGTTCGAGTTTCGAGGTACCACTGTATATATCAATGTTTTATAAGGTACAGGTTTGTAGATAACATTCGTAATTAACTGAAAGACGAAATAACATCTAATTATTTGGTTTGTGCGCTCAGGTCATGCTTTGTCGACATGCTTTTGTTGATCAACTAATCATAACTGTAATATTAACTTTATTATTGGCGGTTTTCATGTAGGCTATTGTTTTAGTTGATTCTACGATTGCAGTGCACTCGTGTTAAGTTGTAAATTTTCAGCTGTAAATCCTACTGACCCGTTATACTCATACATTTTATGATCCAATGGCTAATAATGGCATGAAATTTATTCTTTTAATTGTGGTTGTTTTTCCCTGCAAGAGGTACCACCTCTGCAATTTTGTATTATGTATGTAGTGCGACAAGTGCCTCAATTGCGTATCATTGTAGCCACGGGCGACCTCTAGTGGTTATACTCATAAATTACTGGGAAATTATTATAAATTCAGGAGTCTTCGCAGACGGCCATGACACATTTAGCCCAGTTCTTACGTCATGTCCCAGGGGTTTGAGTCTAATCCAAGACCGGTACGCTACAGTATTAATTACTTTATTGTGCTTATACCAACTTTGACAACATGTTTGTATAATACAAAGAAACGAATATCAAGACATTAGATAAATGCAAATGTGAATGAACCCCACCCACAATACAGTGAATTAATTTTTGTTTCATTATTTTAAACAGTTTGAGATTCTTCCATTTTATTCTCCTATCATTTCAGTTAAATACTTTGTTACATTTTTATCCATTTACACTTGCATAAATATAAATGTAAGTCATTCTGAAAGTAAGCAAGAGTTTGCTTATTCTCTCCCTTTTTTTTTGAAGGCTTCTACAGGGTGATCTGGTTCTTTGTAGTAAACTAGTCGATATCCATAACTGTCTCTTTCTCCTTGAGAAATTCAGAGAGTTCATGTAGACTCTTTGAAGAACTGTTATTGATCATCAGATTCTGGAGATAATCTGTTGGAATGATTTCACGAAGTGAGGTACAGGTACGCAGCTCGGAGGATCCACCACAGTCCTTTGCAGTAGTGATGACTTTTGATAAAACACTGTCCAGATATTCTTTCCGCCCTTGTAGCATATGCCAGATAAATTCTGCGAGAACCTGAATTGTAGATTTTCTCTTCAATGTTTCAGCAATTAACTTTGACAGAAGTTCACATTTCTTTTCCTCCATTATCTGTAGCAGTAAATTCACTAGTACTGACCTCATGGAAATGCCATACTCAATCACGTTCTTCTGTTCTCCAAAAACTTCACAAGAGTAACCACCAGTATGCAAGCCTACCAGTTGGCAATTTTCCCCAAAGATCGGAGAGCCTGAGGACCCATGAATGAAACATGTGTTATATGTCAATTCTTTATTTGCCAATTCTTTATCCGTTAAGTCATTGATATAGTGAATATGATGCCCTTTCATGCCAAAATGTCTTTTTACTGCATTTACTCTTTTTTTAACTTCAATAATGGAACTTGGGTCCATCTTTTTCACCCCCCCATGAGGATGACCAATGAGGCAGATCCCTCCCTTCCCTGGGAAAGGTGCATATTCTCTTAGAAGAGCAGGAGGTAGTTTTAAATCAGGCTTCCCTAGTGAGTCACCTAGCTCCAGTAAAGCAAAATCCATCAAACGTTCCTGTTGATCCAAACCGTACCAGCCAGCCACAACCTCTTCTTTTACACACCATAAATTCTTGGATTATTCTGTGAGATCTTCAAAGGCAAATGTGACATGAACTTTTCGCCCTAAAACTGTACCGTTAGTAATATCCTTAATAACATGTGCATTTGTTAGGATATAACGATCAAACAGCAAGAATCCTGTCCCTGTCATGTGGTTCTCAACCTCAATGTAACATACTGAAGCACTCATGTCCATCAGGTTCTTGATAGTGCTTATTTCAGAGAAGCTCTGTATGTTCTTTCCAAACTCCTCCCTTAGTAACTCTACCACATCTTCGACTTTCCTTTTCTTGTGTCTTTCCTTCATCTGCTCCACTAGACCTTGAAACTGCTCACGCAGAGTCTTCAGGATTTCTGTGGAGTCTGGTATCTCATGTACTTTCTTATATAAATCAGCCCCCTTAACTGCCATTGCTTTGTCTGAACTGGGTTTGGATCCAACAGAAGAAGAGCGTGTGGATGGATTGCCAGTATTAGAACTAGGATCAGATTTTCTGCCGGATTTTAGCTTCCTCTTATTTGCTGTTTTGTCTTCTGCCGGTCTCTTCAGTGCTGTCTTTTTCAGCTGTAAAGTCTTCAGATTGCCAAATTTTGGGGGGATTTTTGTAGTTAACTGAATATTTGTTTGTTGTTCTCCTTCTTCACATAGAGAGACCGATCCCTGAAACACTTCATCTATAAATCGGCCATCTCTTTTCAATGCATCCTCTACCGTCTCCCCAATATACGCATATATGCAAAGGGACTTGTTGTTTTGAAGTTTTGAGTTCCTCAAAAAACGCCTTTTCCTCATGTTCAATCCACCAATACTGCTAATGCAAAAAGTGACAATATCACCGTCTTTTATTTCATAACCATCGGAAACCTCAGCTGCCTCACCAGGGAAACATTTAATGAGGACAGTTTCTTCGTCTTTAAACAACCAACAAGGAAAGTGTGTGGCTATAAATCTGTTGTCTCTTTCAATGATAATGCTTTTTCCTTTGTTTCTCTCCAAAAAGGTTCTGAAAGGTGGATCTGCTTGAAGTGCCTCCAGCACTGTGCCTCGTTTAGTGCAGGTGGCCATGTGATTCTCCTTGTTAATTTGATAATAGAATGAATGACTATGTTCCTGGCCCAGTGTAGTTTTCTGTGAAAGAGAAATGAATATAACCATTAGTAAAATACATCCAAACTTATTGCGTTATCTAATAACAGAAACATTTAATTGTAATATTTTTAAACTGGACCTGTAATAAAGTTTAAAATTGGTCAATTTCACACATTAAAACATACAAACGACCATCATGAATACAAATGTTAACTAGTACAAACATAAATACTAGTTAAATGATTGACTTCATAAAACATCATCTTTTCATTACTCAATTATATGTTAAATATTATCAGTAGACAGGAGAATAGACATCTATAGTAAAAAGTCCCACATTCGTCAAAAAGTGGATGTCATCAATGTCATCAACACCTGTTAGGTCTATGTAAGTAGGAGCTCGGAACAAGAACTGGCATAAAGAGCAGGTCTACAGGGACAGAATCATGAAGTCCTAGGAAACTTCATTAGATTCTTAACAGATGCTTCTGATCTTCGTTGTTTTGGAATCAGTTGAGGCTCATGCTGCGTGGTGTCCTTAATGACAATCCCTCTGCCATTCACTGTCTCTCAACTTCAACAAATATGTTTCCTCCATGAGAAAGGCAAACCAAAGTTTATTAACCAAAGTTTATATTTAATTAAAGGTACACATGGAAAATGGCTTACGTTCTTGGTGAAATTCTGATTGGAAGCCATTGGATTATTTTCTGTAACAAAAAAGGTCTCAGTTATTTTAAGAAAAGGAAAATTACAAAGCAGACAGAATAATATTTAAAAACATGTCTACAGACAAAGATATTTCAGAATTACATATTTAGGGTGATACAAATAAAAGTAACTGACTTGAATAAAAGAAATGCGCTAACATGGGGGGAACATGCACACCCCCAATACATAGAATGGTGGCAGTGATTCATGTTTTTTTTTATCTTTATTGTTTATTGATGGCATATTCCCTCTCTGTCTATGGAGGTAAACAAATACCTCGTCTGTTTTATTTTCCTGTAAATCCTTCAGTTACGTAAACTCATTTCATTAGAGCTTTATAAGAGCGTCTGCTACATAACAACGCAATACATTCTAT